TATGGAAATATGTTTTGCATGATTTCACATGTATAATTGTTTATTATTGCTTGCCTTCTTAATCAGTGGCAGAAGGGTGGGAGGGAGGGAGAAAATTTGGTACTCAAAATTTAAAAAAAGAGTGTTAAAAATAAATAATAAAAATTTTAAAAAGAACATCTGGCCCTGGTGGCTTGCATTTATTAAGAGCAGCTCTCCTTTCTTCTCAAGAGTTCATCAACTATCCTCACTTAATATTCCATTCCAAAAAATGACCAGGATTCATCATTGATCTCACTGGCCTAGAGTCTGAAATGTATGCCTTTTTCTTGCCTTTGAAATATCAGGAAACTTGTCTGTCTCTTGCCTTGAGGCACCTTTCCCTTTTGTGGTGATTTTTCAAAAATCACTCATGATACTTCACAATCCCATCTATACATTCTATGTGTACCATTGAAAATAATTCCAGAAAGCCAGGGGAGATCATCTACCTCCTCACTTAGCTTTTCTAAATTTTTTTAAAAATCTGTTCTCCTTAAGTTTAAATTTCATGTTTGACCATGCTAAGCATTGTCTTCTTCTCTGTTACGAACACAGCCTAACAAGTAGGAGTATACAGTATGGCAAAGTAGAAGTTCAAGTTGACTCACTTTAGATGTCTCCTGTGGAAATGATCTACCTTTCTGACAAAGGTATTAGAGAACAAACCAGATGGAGCTGTAAACTGGTCCGGCCATTCTGGAAAGGAATTTGGAACTATGCTTCCAAAACCACTAAATTATGACTATTGTCCCAGTGATACTGTTAGTAGGTATGTACCCCCAAACATGTCAAAGACAGGGAAAGGATCCATGTGTACAAAAAATTTGTAGCAGCAATTTTAAGAGTTGGGGGAAAAAAAGTGAGTGCCCAGCAGTTAATGAGTGGCTGGTACAAATTGTGGCACATGGATGTAATGAGATACTGCTGCACTGGGGGAAATTACGAATATGGCAAATACCCTTGTCTATCTCAAAGGAACCTGGGGTAGACTGGTATGAACTAATGTAGAGTACAGTGAGCAGAACCAGGAGAACAATTTATACAGTGACCACAATATTTGAAAACACAGCTTTGAAAGATTTCAAAACTCTGATTAATGCAAAGATGATTAAATAATTCTACCCATTTCTTGGCAAAAAAGGGTAGAAAGAGGCGTCCATTTTCAGATCTGCCCAATGTATTAAATTGTTTTGATTGACTATATGTCTTACAAGAGACAGCTTTGGAGGCAGGCTGAGTTTATGGCTAATGATAGAGATGCAAAAAAAGTTTTAAAAATTACAAAGAAGAAAACAAAAAAGTTCAGAAGGGGATGTACATAGGACAACTTTGTCCTATGTACATTTTTTAAAACTATAAAATAGTTTATGGTTTTATGTACAATCTTCTCTTGTTTTTCTTTGCATATTGAAATGTTTATTTGTTGATGCTTAAGTTTGTAATAAAGAAGAAAATAAAAATTTCTAAAAAGGAAAAAAAAGCAGAGCAGAAGATTATGGAGACAATATTCCATCAAACTCTGAAAACCTCAGTATAATCTGCCACAGATATTTTGTTATCCAGAGAAGCTAATGGGTGACTTTGACTGTTTGGAAATGGTTAGATAATTGAAGGATTTTTCTCATGTGATGGGTCCTTATTCAGTATCCCTTCTTACCCGGCTACACCCACAGAAGATCAACCCTCTGGTATCCTGGCAACCTCAATTCCATTGGTCTCCTTCTGGTATTCTTGCCCTATTTTCTTACCCCACTTCCTGTTTGCTTCCTGCAATAAACAGGGATCCATGCATACTGAGACGTCCTCATGAGTGGGCAGTCACTGACACTTGGCCCAAATAGTCATAGAGCCCTTTCGAGCAAGCCTCCTTAAAAACAGAACCAACAATAACAGCATACTGAGACAGAATGCCAAGAAAGAATTGGCCAAACTCAAGTCTTATCTGAACCAGACTAAGGAAGTTGAGAAGCTGTTTACATGCTCTTGGCAATACTTTCCACCTGTCATCAGGCCACTCAGGGCTTTCTGACCCTGAGGTGGTGGTGTCTGTTTTCTCTTAGTGATGTTATACCCGACTTTGCCAATCCTTACAGCATAATACAGGGCCAAGCAATGGCCCAAGTGTTGCCTGGGTTTCCAGCCAGCAAAAAGACTACAAGTAGCCTGGAGACACAGGGCTGAGGCAGAAAGAAAAGTAAATCTGCGCTACTCTAACTTACTTAGCAGGGTTACCCTTTCCTGCCCAGAGTGGAAGTGGCTCCTCATAGCCAATAGAAGGTTAACCTGCTCTATTTCTTACCTGGGCTGGTTCACCTGTCTGGGCAGCCTGGTACCTCCTTCCCCCAAAGGGCTCACCATCTTAATGCCAAACTTAATGACACCCAGTGTGAACAGCCTACCGCAATGCTGAACACCCAAGCTTGTGAGACCTGACCCTCCATTTTCCCTGTAGCTGTGCTGTGCACTGCCACATTTGGCAATAACTTGACATATCTTGCACAGGTTTTGACTAGACCTTCGTGAGCACATATTTCCTTCCCTTGATGTTCAGTTACACTTGGTCAGACACAAAATATCAGAGGTGGGAAAGAGTTCAGGGACAACTATGATAATCCACATGTAAACAGGAATTCCCTTTAGAATATACCTGACCAGTGCTCATTGTCTAGTACTTGAATACCTCCAATAATTGGGAATTCACAACTTCCTAAGACCATTTAATCCATTCTGCTTTTTAAACAGATCTCGTTCTGAGATTATCCTCATATGGACTCAGAATATCTTTCTGAAACATCTATCTGTGGGATCTCATTTCTGCTGTCTGATGTCAAAAGCACTTGCAACATGAAGAGATTTGGGGGTCAGTACCCCCCTTCCCAGCCAGTACCTATAAGGACTGCAGTATGCTAGGTCATAAGACCCCCCCCTCCAACTTTTTGGGAGAAAAAAGACAAACTTCCTCTATAGAAGAGAGAGATTTAACAAGGGTTCAGTGTGCTCAACAAAAGACTCCCCGTTGGCTAATTACCCAATACCTTTTCCTTCTCTTAATGTAAATTTATAATACTTCTTATTTAAAGGATTAGCTTTTATATTAACCGTAGGTGTGGCTTATTCATACTGCCCTCCAGTACCCACTATCTTGTCCTCCTAGGCAGGTAGGCATGTATGGTGCACCCCCTCTTCTCCCTTGTTATAAAACCTCAGTGTATTATAATGCCTTGGTTTTAAATTACCAAAACAAAAGGCACCTTCTTATTATTCTTTAGAAATCCATTGCTGTTGGGCGCCCAAGTGTTTCTTATCTATGTAATTTTCATTCTTGATTGTGGTCCCATGGCCACACTTAGAACACAATGCTTAAGAAATCAGGCTTTAGGCTTGATCCCTGGAGAGATCAGTTAGCAACAGTCTGCTTCTTTGTCTCAAATTGGCACCCATAACTAACCCCCTTGCAAATGTACAGCATTATAAGGCTAGCTAGTCAGCCTGCAGAGACATGCCTACTGCTCCCAAAGCAGAGGGGGAAAGCATGCATGGAAGCAAGCATATGTACTTCACCGGGGTCGGGGGTGGGGTGGGGGTGGGAACCTTGCACTCTTTGTTAACAGTGGATGACATGGTAGGCTGTGTTCATTACACAGATAATACCTTTGCACTTTATTACATGATGTCTTACATTGTTAACATAATGGAAAGATGACTGTGACCAAGAGGTCCACACTATTCACATCAGACCTTTTAAGAGCAAAACAAAAGTTGTAGATAGAGCTCTAGACTTAACTTAAGTTCAAGTTCTGCCTCACACTCTTCCTAGTTGTGTGACTTTGGGTAAGTAACTTTACCTCTTTCAGACTCACTTTGCTCTTCTGTAAAATGGGGATTTAGGAGAATCAACTGAGATAATTTATGTAAAGTGCTTTGTAAACATTAAAGCCCTATGTAAACATCAGCAATTAGTATTTATTATCACTTTATTTCAATTCAGCCAATATTTATTAAGCCCTTATTCTGTGCAAGGTATTTGTGCTAAGCCCTAGAGATAAGAAGACCAAAGGACACATTCTCTGCTCCCAGAGAATTCACATTCCACTGAAAGTTTGGGGGTAAGGGGTAAATATTCCTCCATAGGGAATGTGGGGACAGAAAAATTTAACTGGATGTGTAGCTTGAGGAGGCTGGGTTAGTTGAGTGCTAAGGTCTCTTCCAACTTTAACAGCTGGGCATGCTCTGTCTTCCTAGCCTAGACTGCCGTCAGATTCCTGGCATGGTCCAAGTTGTCAACATCTAATGAGTCTTGTTCTATACAGCCTCTCCCCATCCCCTGCCACCCTACCAAGACGGTGCTTTGTGTAGTTGCCAGTTGAAGTGGATGCTGTCTGGGGGAGTGAATGCGTGAATGAATGGGTCAGAAGGCACATTACATGTGTCAAGTGCTGAAATAAATCAAAGTCAGGAGTTGAGGGATGAAGTGTCTTAAAGTGAGATGACCAGGTAGCAAAGTTGCCACCTTGGGAGATGTCCAGTGGGTTTCCTAACCAAAGAAGTTAGGAAAAGGTTTTTATAGTTTTAGGAGGAGACAGGGAGGAGGCAGTATGAGGCCTGGTCATGAGACCCCAGGAGGCCTTGGCAGTCCAGGCAAGGAAAGCTACTTCATTCTGACTGTTTTGCCTTTCATGCCCTGAGTCCCAGTGGAAGCAGGCAAGAACACTAGCTGAGATCTAGCTTGAGTTGGGCTCCCCAACAAGGCAACATCCCTGGGTGGGGGGACCTAGGGTGTGGCTCAGCTCAACCTAATGGAGAGTAAATATCTTAAGAGCAGGAATGCAAGGACGTTACTGAAATTCTGACATTGCAAGGGAATGGCAGCCCATATTACATTTGGTATTAATAATTCCTGTCATATTAACAATGATATTAACAATTTTCTGTCACAAAGATGTTTTCAGTTCTTAGCAATATTGTACTTTGTTTCCTAGGTACACAGATAAGCTGCTTCTCTCCCAGTTCCTTCTCCTGGCGCCAGGCTGCTTTTGTGGACTCCTACTGCTGGGCAGCAGTTCAGCAAAGGCATTCCTTGAACAGTGATTCAGAAAACCTCCCATTGTGGCTCCATAAGGTACGGTGTAGGTGTAACTCCATGACCTCAGCTTAGAACCTGAGAGATAGTGGGGCAGCTAGGTGGTGTAACAGAGCCCCGGACTTGGAATAAGGAAGACCCAAGTCAAATCCTTCCTCATCTTCAACTCTTCCTCCTTCTTCTTCTCTTTCTTCTTCCTCCTCCTCTTCTTCTCCCCCTTCCCCTCCTCTTCCTCTTCCTCTTCCTCCTCTTCTTCTTCTTCCTCTTCCAGATGAAAATAAAATCTACCTTACAGTGTTGTGAAGCTCAAATGAGATGATGTATGTAAAGCTCTTTACAGACTTTAAAGCACTGTATAAACTAGTGGTCAATTGTTGTCATTATTGTTGTTTTTGTTGTTCTTGTAATCTGTCTAACCCTACTAGAATGTAAGCTTATTGAAGGCAAGGATTGTCTGACTTTTATATCCCTAAAGCTTAGTGCTGTGCTCGCTACATAGTGAACATTTAGTAAATGTTTTTCTTTCATTCAAAACCCTCTTATATCATGGAGAAAGAACTGCAGAGTGGTTTGCCCATGTGTGACAGGATCAGGATTGGAACACTCCTCTCTGATTGACCTAGAAAACAAAATTACTAATATGGAAACTAAAGTGATTTTCAGTGCTTTTCTCTTCTGAATTTGTTGGATTACATGGAATTGTATACAGCAGCTTTGATAGGGCTCCCCGCCCTTGGAGCTAGAGCTAAATGTTGTATGGAAGATAGACTATCACAGAGGGTGATGCTTCTCTGCCTGGAAGGCAAAAAATAACATCAGATAACTAACTCTAATGTTGATGAACTTTGCTGTAGTGTTCCAAATGGCATTTTTCAAGAAGAAATCTCCCTTAGTGATGAAGTGGCTCATAACTGCCTTTTATGCGTTAATGAAAGCAGAGCCCTGTTTCAGCTGGCCTTCAGTACCAGCCACTGATTCCTTTTGTCCGTCATGAAAACAAATGGAGTAGTTGTGCATCTTTTATAATCCCCATCTGCCTAGAGGAACACAAAGATGCAGCTCTCAGCAGGCTTATCCCGTCCTGAAAAGCCAAACACTGGAGTTTACTTTGCTCTGTTCTGCTACAGGACACAGATACAACACTAGCATTCTCCCTCTTTTTAAAGTAGCTTTTTTGCCTCACTCACTCTAGTCTCCTTAACATTTCTTTCATGGAATTTAGCTTATTGTTGGGGGCCCGACAGTTGGCACCCTTATAATGTTTGTGCTGGGTCCCCCCTCCCCCTTGACTTTTTGGCTTTCAGCCCTGAGGGTAAGCAGGGTTTGTTAACTATAGACTTTGGTCACCAGGGAAGCAAAATAGTCCAGAAAAACACAGTTCTTGAGTGGAGTTCACAGGTGCAAATTGTACAGCCAGGAGGGACCCAAATATTCTAAAAATATTTGTCTACATGCTGGGGGGAGGAGTCATATTCCTTTGGTAAAGAGCTAGAAGTGTCCTCAGGAAGCCCCAAGTTCAAATCCAGCCTCAGATCTTAATAGCTGTGTTACCCTGGACAAGTCACTTAACTTCTGTCTGCCTCAGTTCCCTCTTCCATAAGATGAGGATAATAATAGCACCTACTTCAGATTCAAATGAGATAATACATGTATATGACTTTGTAAACCTTAAAACACTACAGAAATGCTTACTATCGTTATCTTCCCAGAGCAGATGGATGGTTTTCCTCTCAGAGTTAAAGCCCTCCATTTGCAGTTTTAAACTTTTTGTGTTATTGTCTCCTGAAAGTGCTAGATCTTAAAGCAGCAAGTGTGTGTTCTTAGTTAATGTTATACAGCCCTTTCTGGTTTACACAGGATCTTACCTTTATTATCTCATTTGGTTCCACATGACAAGAATGGTCAGCACAGTAGTAAGTACTTATTTATTTATTATGCTCACTTTGCAAAGGAGGAAACTTGGGGTCCAGAATGCTTGTGTCTTGTTCAAAGTCACAAAACTAGTAAGGGTCAGAACCAGGACCCAGGTGTTTTTACTCCAAATCCAGAATTCTTTCTTCTCCGTCTACCACACCTCTTCATCTGTATTCAGACCTGTGCTGGTGGGGAGGGTGAGAGAGAACACACGAGAAAAATAAAACAGCTCCAATCCTTCAAGGAATCTGTTATCTCATTGGGGAGAGATCACCAGGGCACCTCAAATATTAGACAACACAAATTGCTTTTACATGTAATTAGGGGAAAAATAAAATAATATTTTTTAAAAAGTTGGACAACAGGACCATAACCATGATAAATGATGTCATATAAATGGTAAGCTTTATAGGAGTTCCGTTGCTCCCAGTAAAATATCAATTGTCCTAGGGCACAGACTGTTTTAGGTTTTGTTTTTGTATCCCCAGAAGCTAGTATGGTTACATAGATTTAGAGCTGGAAGTGACATCTTCCTGATCTGATCCAACCCTTCATTCTACAGATGAGCAAACTGACAATGAAAAAAACACTTATTAAATGCTTACTGTGTGCAGGTCACTGGGGACACAAATATCAATGGGAAGTTGCTATAATCCCTGCCCTCAAAAAGCTTATATTCTAATAAGGGGATTCCACACGTATAGGGGAATGTTGGCCAGGGAGGACATTTTGGTTTGAAATCTACGGAGATGGTTAATGGAACCATGGGGGAGCAGATTTGTACAACATCCTTACTAATTGCAATGGCTGTATTGAATTGGCTGTAGTTTCAGAAGTAGGAGGTGGGAGTGGTAGCCAAGGGGCAGACAGTGGTTCATGCACAATGGTTTATATAAGATGTCTAGAGAAGAAATGACTGGGGAGTAAAGGAAAGCATGATCAGAGTCTGTCTAGGCTGGTCAAGTTAGGCTATGTGAGCCACTCACCCAACAGAATAAAACTCTAATATGTCTCCTAAGCATCCTCTAGGTTTAACACCTCCAGTTTTGGAGATCCAAAGGAACTCTTAAGGCTTTTTGTCATCTTGGTTGCCTTCCCTTAGCTAGTTTATCAGTATTCTTCCTCTTTAAAATAGAGTCCATAAATGACTGTAATGCTGCCAGTAAAATCTGACTAGGACAGAGGACAGAGGGATTGTTCCCTCTATAGTCATGGAAGCTTTCTTTTTGCAGACCAAGATCACATTAGCTTCTGAAACCTGCCCTTCACACTTGACTCAGTCCATGAAACTTTTGGGTCTGGCCATTCAACTCATTTACTAGGAAGTTTGGGAGGTTTCATGAAAGAGTAAGACTTTAAAGGACAGGTGGGCTTTGGGTGGCTGGAGAGGAGTGGAAGAGGACTCCAGGCAGAGGAAACAGCACAAGCCAGATCAGAGAGGTAGGAACATGGACATTTATATGGGGGGAAATTAAGGACTCTGGCTCGACCAAAAGGAAGATTTCATATTGGTGAGTGGTGGGGAATGCACAATGTTGGGAACATAGAGTTTAATAAATAAATACTTTTTTATTAATTTATTCATTCAAATATAACCTGTTATGTATTCAACAATGCCATACTTTTTCATCTAAACCAAATAATTTAATTCAATTAATATCCTTTGACTACCTGTTTTGTGCTAGGTATTTTGGATACAGACAACACAGACCCTTCTCTCAGAGCTTATAACCACCTGATGGCTTGTAACTGTGATTCCCTAGCATTTGAATTATTTAACTGTCTTATGATCCTATAAAGGCTTGTACCCCAGACTACAGCAAGGAGCTGCTATCATCCTAGGTCTGCCCACTTCCTAGGGGAGACGTTCCCCTAAACCAAAAGATTACCATCACTTTCCCCTTGTCCTTTCTTAAGTCCTACAAAAGTCCCTCTTGGTAGTCACCTCTAACCAGTAATTACAGTATAAAAGGAACTTTTTAGGAATCACAGGTGAAGCACACAAAACCAAAATAAATAGGCAAATACAGCAAACTAAGACACTCAAAACCTGACTGTAAAGATAGAAATTTGTTCTGATATATGTCTCTTCCTTTCTTCAATGATATTTCTTGTTGCACCCCTGCTCTCCACACAAACACTTTTAGCCAGGTTTATCCAAATGGATTTGTTTAGAGAGGGCTGTGGATGTGTCATCTTTCTGGAATGTGATTCTCCCAACCCTTTGGCCTGGAGGGTGAAATCCTAGTGCTTTTCTCCTATAGTTAGTTCCGCTGTTTAGTCTGGCTTTCAAGATTAGGCTTTATTGCACCTAAGTTTGCTACCTCAGCACTCCAATAAGGAGCTCTCCTTGTACCCCCACCTCCTACCCCTATGCCTTCCAAGCTCTCTCCCTCCTCAGGGTTCAAAATCTAGCTGTTCTGTAGATCCCTGTGCTTGGGTCATGAAAATTCTGTCATTGTTACCTTCTTTCTTCTCCTTAATTATTATTATTATTATTATTATTTTTTTGGCTAGGCAATGGGGTTAAGTGACTTGCCCAGGGTAATAAGCTAGTGTTATGTGTCTGAGGCTAGATTTGAACTCAGGTCCTCCTGAATCCAGGGCCAGTGCTCCATCCACTGCGCCACCTAGCTGCCCCTCTCCTTACTTATTTTTAAAAATTATTATTGCTACCTTTAATTTTCACATCCCCATCTTTTCTAAATGTATTTCTTTTCCCTCCCCCCACTTCAGAGACTCTATGTCACCTCTTTCACAATTCAATAAACTTCAGTGACTCTCTATTTCCTCCAGGATCAAACATAAAATCCTGTTTGGCTTTTAAAGCCCTTCCCAACTTGGCCCCTTCCTATCTTTACAGTCTTCTTATACCTTATTCCCTTTTATTCCCCTGACCTAGTACATTCCAAACATTTTTGCTGGCTACAGCCAGGTTTGCATGCCTGGAGCTCTCTCCTTCCTTCTGTCTGACTCCTGGCTTCCCTGGCTTCTTTCAGGTCTCAGCTCAAGTCCCATCCTCTTCAGAAAGTCTTTTCCAGTCCTCTTTAATCTTGGTGTCTTCCCTCTGAGACTACCCCAAATTTATTTTGTCTTTCTCCTTTGTAGATAATTGTTTGCGTGTT